GCCTTGGTTAAAAATTAAGTAATCAACAGTCTCACCTTAAGATTTTAAATGAACGAGTCTTGTACTGCTTGATGATATTTTAATCGAAATATTGTTTTATAAAAAGAATTTATGTTCATTTTCAGTTTTTAGCTAGCACATTACGTCATACAGTCGTGAAAGCTATTTTAAGAACGCATTTTTTTTCTAACATTTGTCTTGAGAGTATTTTTTTTAATGAACATTGTAACACTAACTCACAATACTTAATAGATCTAGATTCGAATGTAAAAGTAATAAATATAAATGTTCCTTCCTAGTTTACCTTTACCATCGAGGGCAGCATAGGGCGGAACAGAGTTTCTTCCATGTATCACTTCGCCCCCCCCCCCCCCACCTCCCTGGACGAAACTGAATTTATATTGAAAAAATATACTTTTACCAGTGTCCGCCCCCCCCCCCCCCCGAAAAAAAACCAAAAGTCTGGAAGAAACAATGGGGCGGAAAACTAATATAAACCTCAAGTTTTCATTCATTCAAGCCGTTAGGATTTCTTTTTAGACTCTTCCCTTCTCTTTACGGATCATTCAGACTGCTTTATATTAAAGAGGTGTTAGGGCGGGGGAGGTTAGACCCCCACCCCCTTCCCTCTTACGAACCCCCCTAAGGACAGCTGTCTCATCTAAACTGTTTACGAAGGGGCACTCGTGTCGCCTACTTTTTGTTTCAAAATCATGAATATCATTCAACCGCCATTTTACGTTCTACAATCGTTATATTTTACCAAAAAAAGCAACCAGAGGCGTCGCAATGCCGGGGGTTGGGGGGGGGGGGGGGATGCGGACCGCACCGGGTGACACCATTTGGGGGGGGGGTGACACCTGGCAAAAATTGCAAAATATATAGGCAAAATATGCGAACGAAATAGAATTTATATAGAAAATATATACTTTTACCTGTGTCCGCCCTCCCGGATTTTTTTTTTTGCTAGTTTCATTTATGATTAATTAAAGTTAAATAGTCTTTTAAGTACAAATCGAGTGGGGGTGACACCATGACGTAAACGTGCTAACTATAGTATAGAGAAAACATTGCTACATCCACTATATTATTAACATACTATAGATAAACATCGTTACTATTAAGCCTGCAGTGATTAAAGCTTGCACACATACATGTAAGCATATGCGGTATATATTTAAACTATAGGCTTATGTCAGCCGACACACACATTATATATATATATATATATATATATATATAAATATATATATATATATATATATATATATATATATATATATATATATATATATATATATATATATATATATATATATATATATATATACATATATATATATATATATATATATATATATATATATATATATATATATATATATATATATTGTTTCTTGGGGGGGGGGGGGGTGAAAGTGCCTAGCGACGCCACTGCATATACTTTATTACTTAGTTGTTAGGAGCAGAGGCGTAGCGACCCTTCCCGGCACCCGGGGACATACTTTCAATTTGGCGCCCCCTTGGGAGCAAATTTTCGATTTGCACCCCCCCTCGAACTTTTCATTTGCACCCCCCCCCCCTCGAACATTTCATTTGCACCCCCCCCCCCTCAAACTTTCGATTTGCATCCCCCCCATCGAACTTTTCATTTGCACCCCCCCTCAAACTTTCAATTTGGCGCCCCCCCTAAGGTCGGCGCCCGGGGGACATATGTCCCCCCCGCCCCCCCCCCCCCCTCGCTACGCTACTGGTTAGGAGCCCTATTAGTATAACGAGAAAAATGGCCCGTTGAGGAAGGATACACCGGGCGCTAGGTTGATAGTGCTGTCTTTTTTCTCTAAACTAAAACCAACCCACCCCCCCCCCCCCACCCCCTCCCACCCCCACCCACCCCACACACCACCCCCCCCCACCCCCACCCCCACCCCCAAAAAACATGTCTACCGTCCCATTCAACGAAATATAATTATATACTTTTTCCAGTGTCCGCCCCCTCCCCGAAAATTCTACCCCCGCCCCCCGAAAATTTCCCCCACCCCCACCCCTCTCCGGGGAGGAAAAAGTCTGAAAGAAACACTGGTGTCGCGCTTAGCCACTACGCGAAGAATTGCATTAAAGAAATTGCGAGAAAACCACTTTTTAGATTAGACACATTAATTAGGCGGTAATTTTATTATAGAGTATCGATGAGGAAACCCCCCCCCCCCACCCCTCCCACCCCCCCCCCCCCACCCCCCACTCCTAAAAAAATCATGTCCACCGTCCCATTTAACGAAATATAATTATATACTTTTTCCAGTGTCCGCCCCCCTTCCCGAAAATTCTACCCCCGCCCCCGAAAATTTCAATTACCCCCACCCCTCTCCGGGGAGGAAAAAGTCTGAAAGAAACAATAGTCAACTTCCACAAAATCATAATTTGGCTAGTTTATAATTATGTAATAGAAAGCGAGTCTGCATTTTTCACTAGATTTCTATATTTACGTTGAAAAAGTAGAAGGTTTCATAAATATTACTCGCCAAACTTTTTAAATATTTTGTTTCTATTTTAAAAACCTTATTTGTAATATTGCGAACATTTTTAAATATATAAATCTTCGGTTAAAGAAAATTAAATTTGACCTTTTTGTTGATTGGTATCTACCGTTGGTTTGATTTCGGGAAAAGTGTAAACAAAACATTCACACGTGCAAGATATATTTTTTAAAATGGGAAAGAAAAGAAAATTAAATAAACAAACTATTGAAGTAAACGAAAGTGATAATGATGGAAAAAAGGTAATTTTCAAAATTTAGCTTTTTTTTCTGAACTCGTTACGACAAAACATTAGATCTCAGTTTACTGGTGAATTTGACAAAGTCGACTCGAAAATCGAAAATAGTGAAAATACTCGAAATCATGAGAGAAAACTTAAAATTCGCTTAGTCAAGTCAGTCACCCAGTCTCACTTACTTAATTTTATAATTTTTAGGCCTACAATTTTTTATTATAATTAGATACTAGACCTGATAATTAATAATAATAATTATTAATTATTGTTAGTAATGTTAGGGCCCTAACTGTTTAAACATAAATTAAAACGTATTTCTGTTAGGTAACTGTTAATTTTATCTTCTGTAGGCCTAAATTTTAAAGCAGGGGGGGGGGGGGCAGATGATGAAGCTTTAGAAGTAGAGTTAATCTGTTTTGTAGACCTCAACATATGAAATATAAAGGAATAGTGTGGATGGTCAGTACTGTGAATATGCCCAACTGCCTTTACTTTCCCTAATGCTCAAGCCTGGGATCCGAACTGGAAATAACTTAAGACTTTCGTGTTAGCATCACAGTAGACCACACCTTCTCATGATTTTTTTTTTTTAATAAAAAGCTAAAAAGAAATTCAAAACTGTAGGCCTATTTAATTCCAATATTATAAAAATAGCAAATGCAAAGAACTTGCAAATACTTTTTGTGTTTAAAATATAGGCCTACAGGCCCTAGGCCATAGTTAGCAACATGACTATTAGTTATATTTGCAATATGTAGCCCCCCTCCCGAATATTTATTAAGATTTTCTATTCAGTTTATATAGCACATTTCAACCAGATGCTTCTTTTTGGGTGGTCTCAATTTAACATTTAGCCTACTTGTCTTATTAATATTTTCTTTTACTACAACAAGATTACATTAGTCTACATGTCTTCTGAATTTTTTTTTCAGATTTGTTTGGAAGGCATTGTTACATCAGGCACCTCCACAGAAGGAGACACAAACATGCTTGTTGTTATTCCAAAGAAAAAGAATAAGGAAGTTCCTAAACCAGTTAAAAGTGTCAAAAAGCTCAGCAAAAAGGAAAGGAAAAGACTCACTGATATTGTACAGAGGAAGGAAAAGAAAGAAAGGGTACAGTTTTAAAAATAATTTTATGTTTATTTTTAAAAGTAATTTAAAAAACAAACTTATTTAACGTCATGACAAACAAGTAATGATTTTCTTTTTTACGGAGGTGATGATTTAAAAATACCTGGAAAGTAGAGGGTTAAAGTCCTTTATAAAATATATGATTTGTTTTTAGAGAGCCGAGCTCCTGGAGTCCTTGGCCAAACACCAGGCCACTGAGGAGGAAATGAAAAGATTTACATCCATCACTGAAGTCTACACCCAGAATTTCAAAAGGTTCGTCTCAACTCTCAATAAACTTTGAGGAAAATTATTTTTTAAGATAAAAAAAATTGGTTCTTTTTAATCAAAGCTTCTAATAAGAAAGATTTTTTATTTATGTGTAACTTGCTGTTTACATAATTATCACTAAAACCAGTAGATCCTAACCTTTATTTCTTCATTTCATACGAGTTTTACATTGAAATTAAAGCTGGGTGATAACGTATGTTCCTGATAGCCTGGGTTGGGAAACAAAAGAGTGCAAATTAAAAACAAGAATTTAGACACACAGTTTTTATTTACTTTTGCTGTGTCATTTTTTAAATTTGGTTCCTGGAAAAATTTGAAAGTGCTTTATTTTGATTTTGATAGTTTTATAATACAGATTTAAAGTTTGTATTTGAATTGTAAAAAAAAAAAGTATAAAAATAAAAAAAAATGTTTTGCTTTGTTCTCCTAGTTGTTTCAATTACTGAGCCCCTTAGTTGAAAAGAAACCACACAATTTGTTTTTCTTTGAATTTGCAGCAACTTAGCAGTTGATGACACATTTGAGATGAAAATCAACTCCATCAAAGGCTCCAAAAGGAAGAAGAAACTACTGAAGAAATTAACGGAGAAGGAAGAGCCAGAGTCAACAGACACAGATGAGATGTCAACAGATGAGGAGGTGGAGGCCATCATGGAAGAGGAAGTGGCCGCCCATGACAAGATGGAGGAAACTGAAAAAAAGGAATCTGCTGATGAGCCTGTGAAGGAAACAAATAATTTAGAGAAAGTATGATTCATCCTCATTTATTTCTTCTATTTTAGCCTTTGACCCATGGTTTTATTTATATTTAGTTGGCCTGTATATAATAGCAGAATGTTATATGATTTATTTTTGTAATTTAGGCAAAATCAGAAGAGGAGAAATCAACGCAGCAGGCACATACTCCAGCTGCGAGTAAACCTGTTGTTTACATTCCATTAAATCGACTGCCTGAGATGCAAGTATGTATCTATATCTGTACATTATGCTTTAATTTTCACACTGTCTTACCTAAAATTTATTATTTCATTAAACAAGAAGAATAAGAAGGACCAAATTTGTTTAATATGAAATGCTACTTATTTAGGATGCCAGACTTAAGCTGCCCATTCTAGCAGAAGAGCAGGTTGTCATGGAGACCATCAGTGAAAACCCAGTGGTCATCATCTGTGGAGAAACAGGCTCAGGAAAGACAACCCAAGTTCCACAATTTTTGTATGAGGCAGGCTATGCACAGTGAGTTGTTTTTGACTAGTTTAATAATTTTATTGAAGAATAAATCATATCATGTGGCTGTTATGCTGCCCTTGATCATAAAGGGTTTAATCTTCACCAACTACTGCCTTGCAGATTGCTCTTGGTTGAACTAAGGTTATAGAAACAAATCCAGAAAGAAATACAGGACAAAGTCTGAGTCAACAGGCCAAGAATGGTTCATAACATATTGACACGTAATACATAGATATTTGAGGAAATTACCTCCAAGAATGAAGAAGAAAAGCTTAACTTTTAATCTTCAGCTAGCTGTTAACCACTTGAGCTGGGACACTCACCATCACAAGAAGAGTTTGAACTCTAGTCCTAGAATTTGGAATCTTTTTTATAACCATAATTAAATTTTATCATCATATTTATTCGGTTGTGCAAAAGACACATGGGGTAGATAGAGTTTATCGCTTTCAAAGACCTAGGCATATGAAGGGATAGTGTTGTCAGCACTATGCCAAGCCACCTTTATTACTCCAACTTGACATATGTACTCATCAAAGCTGGGTGGACTCAAGAACATTATGATCCCGTTTTCGAACTCGAGACTTTCTGATTAGCAGTCTAGCTCTCTACCACTAGGCCACTCCGCCCCATATTTACTTTTATACCTGTTGTATAATTTTGTTAAAATATTACAACAAATTTTGTATGCATATTTCTAGTGACAAAGGCATTATAGCAGTGACAGAGCCGCGTCGTGTGGCAGCCATCAGCATGGCCAAACGTGTGGCGGCCGAGATGAACCTCACTGATCGCGAGGTTTCCTACCAGATTAGGTTTGAAGGCAATGTGACGCCAGAAACCAAGATCAAGTTCCTCACTGACGGTGTTCTCTTGAAGGAAGTGCAACAGGTCAGTTGGTTGGGTTAGATAAGGTCAGTTGGTTGGGTTAGGTCAGTTGGTTAGGTTAGATTAGGTCAGTTGGTTGGGTTATATTAGGTTAGATTATGTCAGTTGGTTAGGTTAGATTAGGTCAGTAGGTTGGGTTAGATTAGGTCAGTTGGTTGGGTTAGGTTAGGTCAGTTGGTTGGATTTGTTAGGTTTGATTAGGTCAGTTGGTTAGGTCAGGAATGTACTCTGTATAGCCAGGCAAGAGGCAGACACTGGCCCCAGCCCACCCCACTCAGGGAAAAATTATATGGGACACCTGACAAACTGGTAACCACAGTCCGGTTTGTCCATGAAGTTGGACTTGTTGTCTGAATCCTCCACCATATTCAAAAATTAAGAACGAAGAAGAAGAAGAAGAAGTTGGTTAGGTTAGATTAGGTCAGTAGGTTGGGTTAGATTAGGTCAGTTGGTTGGGTTAGATTAGGTCAGTTGATTGGGTTAGACTAGGTCAGTGGGTTGGGTTAGATTAGGTCAGTTGGTTGGGTTAGATTAGGTCAGTTGGTTGGGTTAGATTAGGTCAGTTGGTTTTGTTAGATTAGGTCAGTTGGTTGGGTTAGATTGGGTCAGTTGGTTTTGTTAGATTAGGTCAGTAGGTTGGGTTAGATTAGGTCAGTTGGTTGGGTTAGGTTAGGTCAGTTGTTTGGGTTAGATTAGGTCAGTTGGTTGGGTTAGGTTAGGTCAGTTGGTTGGGTTAGATTAGGTCAGTAGGTTAGGTTAGATTAGGTCAGTTGGTTGGGTTTGTTTAGGTCAGTGGGTTGGGTTAGATTAGGTCAGTTGGTTGGGTTAGGTTAGGTCAGTTGGTTGGGTTAGATTAGGTCAGTAGGTTAGGTTAGATTAGGTCAGTTGGTTGGGTTTGTTTAGGTCAGTTGGTTGGGTTAGATTAGGTCAGTTGGTTGGGTTAGATTAGGTCAGTTGGTTGGGTTAGATTAGGTCAGTAGGTTAGGTTAGATTAGGTCAGTTGGTTGGGTTTGTTTAGGTGAGTGGGTTGGGTTAGATTAGGTCAGTTTGTTGGGTTAGATTAGGTCAGTTGGTTGGGTTAGATTAGGTCAGTGGGTTGAGTTAGATTAGGTCAGTTGGTTGGGTTAGATTAGGTCAGTTGGTTGGGTTAGATTAGGTTAGTTGTTTGGGTTAGATTAGGTCAGTTGGTTGGGTTAGATTAGGTCAGTTGGTTGGGTTAGATTAGGTCAGTTGGTTGGGTTAGATTAGGTCAGTTGGTTGGGTTAGATCAGGTCAGTGGGTTGGGTTAGATTAGGTCAGTTTGTTGGGTTAGATTAGGTCAGTTGAATGGGTTAGATTAGGTCAGTGGGTTGGGTTAGATTACGTCAGTGGGTTGGGTTAGATTAGGTCAGTTGGTTGGGTTAGATTAGGTCAGTTGGTTGGGTTAATAACTTTGGTCAGGTAAGGTTAGATTATCTGCTTTGGTTAGTTTTTGGACCATTTAGGTTACATTTGTTTCTTAGTTGAGGTACATGGTTTTGCTAAAAAAAAGTTTACTTTACTTTTGGTATTTTTCTGTAAGTGAAACTATTAATTTAGGTTAGTGGATATGCTAGAATACTAGTAGTTTAAATAAGAGAATATTAACTTTTTAGTTATTTTTAGGATAGGGACGTTAATTGTAAATTGTTTACAAATCCTTATTTTTTAATTTTTAACCAATGTCAAGGATTTTCTCAATATTCTGCTTCTCAGGATCCTCTCCTTGGCAAATATTCTGTGGTAATTATTGATGAAGCTCACGAGAGGAGTGTGTACACTGACATTCTGATTGGTCTACTCTCCATCATTGTCAGACAGAGAGAAAAGGTATCACTAATTGAAATTGACATGTTTTCTACAATAGTTTACTCTGTTTTTTCTTCCCATTTTTGTTTCATGCTCTTAGTCGTTGAGATTTTTCTTACTCTCCGCCATAATGAGAAATTTCAATCGTTTTTTTTTTCTAGCGAGGACGACCATTAAAACTGATTATCATGTCTGCAACTCTGAGGGTTGAGGATTTCACAAGTCCAACTTTGTTCAAATCTATAAAGCCACCTCCTCTGGTGAAGGTAAATATTGATTTCTTATCATGTGTGACACAGACTATTTTTCTATTGAATTCAGTGTTGGTTAGAAGAGTGTTAGAAAATTTTTGTTTTGTTATGACAGTCACCAATAAGATTCACTTGTTTACAACAAACAGTAGTTTGATGCGTTTAGCTAGTAAATTTAATTTATTGACTCTAATGCCTTGCTTGCTTATCCTTTTTTAATATCTAGAATTAAAATTGTCAGATATTTATAAGATTTTCTCCTTTTCTTCACCTTAAACAAAATTGTAGGTTGATGCTCGCCAGTTTCCTGTAACTGTTCATTTCAATAAGAAAACAGCGGATAATTATATCACAGAGGCTTACAAAAAGGTATCTCTTAGATGTTGAAGTAAATTTCTCTTTTCTGACTTGGCGGTCCATGGGGCAATCGAAGTAGAGCTCACCATGTTTGTGACCTCTGCATATGAGGGGATAGTGTGCTCTGCACTATTTCTATGCCCAGCGAGCTTTACTTTCCCTAACTTGAGATATGTACCTATCAGAACTGACTCATTGACGCTCTACTGACTTGAACCCAGTTTCGAACTCGAGCCTTTTAGGTAAGCAGGCCACACCATCCTTATCTCTTAGCTGTAGTAATTTATAAATTGGAAAACATTTTGCTGGGTCCTGTCAGTACACCAATTCAAGAAGAATCCATTTAATAATTTTGGCATATGAAGGGATGTGTGGTCAATACTGTCCAGCCACTTTTACTTTTCTAGACTTGAACCAGGTACCCACCATAAATCATAAGGCTCTCTTAGATTTGAACCAGGAAATCAAAACTTGAGACAGCTGTCATGCTGTGTTATTTTCATCTTAAAATAAAATCTGTTACTTAATTTTAAAAATCTGTCCCTCCCAGATTTGTAAAATTCATAGAACCCTGCCAGAAGGTGGCATTCTGGTGTTTGTTACTGGTCAGCAGGAGGTGCACGTACTGGTCAAAAAGTTGCGGAGAATGTTTCCATACATTGCTGGTCAAGGTAAGCTGACAATTTTTATTTTTTGAACTAAAGATTTATCCATCTTGCCATATAATGTTATTGTCCCTTTTGAAAAAAAAGCAGTCAATCGACATAACAAAATTTGATGCTTTGAACAAAAGATCTATCAATTAATTGTTAAACAAAATGTTATGTTTTAAATTAATTGAAGTTGTAATTATAGTGTAATTTTAATATTGGTTAGTTATTAAAACTGCAAAATTATGTGGTATACATTTATTATAGTTTACTTTACAGCAAAATTACAACTAGATAACTAGTGTTTGTTTCTTCTATTTAAATTAAACATTGTAAACTTATCCTTCAAATATGCAAGACATTTTAAAACCAGAGGAAAGTGTAATGTATATAAAGTAGAAAATTATATTTTATTAAATTTTATATTTTAGTACATGTTTAATATTTTAGTTAATGATTTATATTGCAGTTAATATTGTATAATGTACTTAATGTTTTATATTTTAGTTAACATTTTATATTGTAGTTAATGTTTAATATTGTAGTTAATGTTTTATATTTTTGTATACATTTTTTATATTGTAGTTAATGTTTTATATTGTAGTTAATGTTTTATATTGTAGTTAACGTTGAGCCTGTGAAAAAAGAATCCAGGCGAGAGAGAAAGATGAAAGAAAAACTGAAAGAGGAAGAGAAAAATATTTTGACGTCCTTACCCAAAATTGATTTAAGCAGGTAGTTTTTTATCTTCAAATGATGGCTAAGTGGTAGTGCTATTTTTACAAAATAAAATTGATAAGTTCTAAATTTATACCCAAGTTCAAAGTGTAGACAATAGTATTTGCACAGTGTTAAATCTAACAAAATACATTACAAAAGCTCTGTAAATCCTGACTGTTTTTTGATGATTTGCTTGAGTGTTGGTTTTGTTTACCATACAGCTACTCTGTACTCCCACAAGATGATGAAGACGCTGAAAAGGATACAGATGTCATCCAGGCTAACGATGATGATGAAGAGGATGGAGGTCATGGCACTGGTGAAGAGGACGAGGAAGCTACGGTATCTGAATAGATTTCTTTAAGAAAGGGCTGATTATTGTTAAAAGTGTGCATTTAAAACCATCAAGAATCTTAGTGTATGAAAATATCAACAAACATGGTTATTTAGCAATAGATAAGGTTTTCAAATACTATGTATAAAGCTTTCACTTTGCATGTATGTTTTTCTGTTTTAATTACTGTATGTGTTTATTTAAAAAAATTTTTTTCTAGAGAGCTAAGATGGGAGAGAACCAGCCAGACAGTACCATCCCCTTGTATGTGTTACCACTCTACTCATTGTTGTCAAGTGAAAAACAGGCCAAGGTAAGATAACTGACATCTGTCAATGTTGTCATTCACTCTGTGTACATATCTGTGAGATCTAAGTGTACCATGATGTTCTTTTTAAAGCACTCATGTCTTCTTGGAACCCACCATTGCTTTGTTTTTGCTGGACAAGTTGGTCGTATGGTATGATACAACTACCATCCCAAATGTCTGGCATTCGAATCACATCCATCTGATGGGTACCTAACTCACGGTTTAGGGAAAGTAAGGACGGCTGGGCATTGAGCTGACCACATTATTCCTTCATATGCCGAGGTCACAGAAGCAGTTGAACTCTACTTCACTTTTCCCATTGACTGTCAGGTTCGAATAGGTACGGTACTTTACTTTTATTAAATATTTATTTCTTATTTTCCTAGGTGTTTGACCCCCCACCAGAGGGCTGTAGACTTTGTATCATCGCCACCAATGTTGCAGAGACCTCACTGACCATTCCCAACATCCGCTATGTTGTGGACACAGGAAAGGTAGGGATCAGATAGTTTTTTTTTAGAACAAGGTCTAAACCTCTCCTTGAAAACTTGCATGCTAGAGATGCCTTTGTTGATATATGCATATGCTGAGTAGGCTGTGTTTTTACTGCCAGTTGTTGAAGCTTCGTAGTTATTTTTTAAAAACAATGATTTTTTTGCTTTTAATGAATTTCTCATGTTGAATTAATTGAAATTCCCTAGGTTGATTAAAGTGAAGTTCTCTATTTCTTTTTCATTTCAATTGTAATATTTGAGGAGATTTCCTCCAACACAATTAGGTATTATGCGTCAACATGTAATAAGCCACATGGCCTGTTGCTCCTTTTTCAGCCTGCTTTTCTTTCTGGATTTACCATAGCCTTTGTCCACCAAAAGAACAAACCAATAGGCAGCAGTTGTTTAATTTTTGAGTTCTCTCTCCTAGATGGTTTACTGACCCCAGCTTAAGAGCCCATCTGTCTGGATCTGAACTTTAGACTTTAGGAGTTAGCAATCATACGCCTTCCTGCCCAACCAAACTGTCCCCTTCCCAGGTTTAATTAATTGTAATTCCCAAAGTTTAATTTATTGTAATTCCCCAAGTTTAATTTATTGTAATTCCCCAAGTTTAATTTATTGTAATTCCCCAAGTTTAATTTATTGTAATTCCCCAAGTTTAATTTATTGTAATTCCCCAAATTTAATTTATTGTAATTCCCTAAGCTGAATAACCAAGTTGAATGAATTGAAATTCTCCACTCCGCAGACAAAGGTGAAATATTTCGACAAGGTGACAGGTGTATCAACATTTCGAGTTACCTGGGTATCTCAAGCTTCAGCCAATCAGAGGGCAGGTAGAGCTGGGCGCATGGGTCCTGGACACTGTTACAGGTCAAGCTGACATTTTGCTTCACCCCTTTTTTAAATAATTACAAACCTTGTCAGTTGTGTTTATTTAAAAAGTTTGATTTACTGTTTGTTTTGATGATTGTTTCAGACTATATTCATCAGCAGTGTTTATTTAAAAAGTTTTATTTACTGTTTGTTTTGATGAATGTTTCAAACTGTATTCATCAGCAGTGTTTATTTAAAAAGTTTTATTTACTGTTTGTTTTGATGATTGTTTCAGACTGTATTCATCAGCAGTGTTTATTTAAAAAGTTTTATTTACTGTTTGTTTTGATGATTGTTTCAGACTATATTCATCAGCTGTGTTTATTTAAAAAGTTTTATTTACTGTTTGTTTTGATGAATGTTTCAAACTGTATTCATCAACAGTGTTTATTTAAAAAGTTTTATTTAGTGTTTGTTTTGATCAATGTTTCAGACTATATTCATCAGCTGTTTATTTAAAAAGTTTTATTTACTGTTTGTTTTGATCAATGTTTCAGACTGTATTCATCAGCTGTGTTCAGTGACTTCCCAAACTTTTCACCACCTGAAATAACACGGAGACCTGTGGATGATTTAGTGTTACAGATGAAGGTAGGAACTCATCAAAATAACTTTTTGATTATAAATATTCTAAAATTTTACATATCATGTACACTTTTTAGTTCATTTTGATGACTAACTGTTACTGATAAGGGTAGGAAGTTATAATTACAGAGTTGAGAGAGAATATTTTGTTAACTCATTTTATTTCTTGATATTTTCTTTTCTAATATTTATTTGTTGTATTTCTCTCTACCTAGAGCATGAGAATAGACAAAGTGGCAAATTTTCCTTTCCCGACCCCACCAGATGCTGAACAAATTAAGGTAGCTCTTTAAATTTCTTGTTAAACTTTTTTAAATTAATAAACGATATTAATATTTTTTAAATTTTAAAATGTTCCTGAAAACATATTCTCCTATTTTTCAAGATGGCCGCCATTGTCATAGTTATCAAGATTTTTCCACCAAATGTTTTTAGTGGAAATGCATATGTGGATGTATCTTAATAAAGCTGTAAAGAAATAATTGTTTTCTAACGAGTATTAAAAAAGTTTTTTTTTACCGGAGCCTTCCCCCTTAAGGAAGATGGCAGGAGTTTTGCGTGCAACTTTTTTTAGTGATTAAATTAACATTGCTAATTTTTTCTTTTTGTTTTGTCTTCAGGCTGCAGAAACTCTTCTTATGTCTCTTGGAGCCTTGAGAAATATTGGCACTGGATCCCTGAGGTTTAAAGATCTTAAGAAAGGTAAGCTACTCTTGTCAAGGGAGGTAGCTCATGGTAATTTAAAAATAAAAATAAAGAAATAGACTACTTATTTTGTTATGACAAATTTAGAATGCTTTTAACTTTTGGACATTTTTCTATTCTAGCAAAGAGTCCAGTAATCACAGATTTAGGAATAGACTACTTATTTTGTAATGACAATTTGGAATGCTTTGAACACTTGGACATTTTTCTATTCTAGCAAAGAGTCCAGTAATCACAGATTTAGGAATGACGATGGCGTCATTTCCAGTGGCGCCGAGGTATTCAAAGATGTTAACACTGGCACGGAGCTACAAAGTCTTGCCCTATGCTATAGCTCTGGTGGCTGCGCTCTCTGTGGATGAGTTGTTTGTGGATGCCATCCAGGCCACAGATGTGGATGAGAATGTGAGTCTGATAAAATAAATGTAACAAATACTACGGTATCAACCATCAATTATTGATAACACTTTCTTGATGCTAATTCTTTAACTTTTATGTCTCCAGAATGAAGAGTTGCAAGCAAAACTATCAAAGCTGAGTTTATTCCGCAATAATCTTGTGGTAAGCTAAATGTTCTATTTCTCTGAACATTTTTATTTTATTGAATTCAATTCTATGGCAGGGGTTATGCCTTTTTAAATTTATTAGGCTGTAATTAAAATTTAGCTTGATTTAATTAAAATTCTGATAGTATTTTAAAATGTATGTTTTTAGTCTTAAACTTGAATAAATCTTTTACATCTTGTTTGGTGCTCCAAGGGTTTTTACATCTTGAGATCTTGTTTGAAGGGAAATTCTCTGAAGCTTAAAATGTTTTAGCATATAAATGAATGGACCATTTACATCTTGTTTGAAGGGAAATTCTCTGAAGCTTAAAATGTTTTAGCATATAAATGAATGGACCATTTACATCTTGTTTGAAGGGAAATTCTCTGAAGCTCAGTGTTTTAGTCTAGATTTGAATACATTGTTTACATCTTGTCTGAAGGGAAATTCTCTGATGCTTGGGGATATGATGGTGTTGCTGCGTACAGTCGGGGCCTGCGAGGCTGAAGGGTGCTCCCCCACTTTCTGCCAACAGCTTGGTGTGAGGTTCAAGGCCATGAGAGAAATCAGAAAACTGAGACTCCAGCTAACAAATGCAGGTAATGAATTTTACAATTGTTTTTTACATTTGTTCCTCTGTTCTTTTTTGAATTACATTAATTTAAAATAAAAATAAAAAAAGCCACTTATTTTAAAATTTTGTGTTTCATATCTTCTCCTTCTGATTAAGTATTGATTGGTTGCTGCTTGACAAAATATTTTGTGCCACATACCTAAAGTATTTTGTTTTCTCTAGCTACTCATACAACTTTTGGCATTACAAAAGCCATTGTAAAACTAACATTGAATTAGAAACAGCTGTGCTCAACAGTGTTTGACATTACAACCGCCATTGTTAAAGTAACATTGAGCTATAAAAAAAATAGTTGTGTCTAACAGTGTTTGGCATTACAACCACCATTGTTAAAGTAACATTGAGCTGTAAAAAAATGGTTGTGTCTAACAGTGTTGGGCCATATTGTTGTGTCTAACAGTGTTTGGGCAAATTGTTTGCAGCTACTGTGGCGTTTCAAGATGAGAGCCTCGTTGTGGATCCTAACCTATCTCCACCCAATGAAGACCAAATCTTGGCCTTGAGGAAGGTCGTCCTAGGTGGTCTGGCTGATCATGTTGCCAGGTAGTACTGAAATTTTCATTTTCTTTAATGATATTTAATATATATATATATATATATATATATATATATATATATATATATATATATATATATATATATATATATATATATATATACAATTAAATTTGTTAAATTTGGTCTAATTAACAAGAAATTCACTGAAGAAAATAATAAAAAAAGATTGTCAAAATTAATAAGAAGAAATGTTTAAACAAGAAATTTAAGACAAATTGGAGTTTGGGTATTACCAGTGTTTGCCAGTAAACTCTTCCCAAACTAGGCGTGTTCATTTGTTTGTAGTATTGTCATCTTAGGTTAGTGTTATTGTCAGGTGTTAGGGCTATGGGAGGGCTGGGGTTAGGATTTGGAATATTGTTAGTGTTGACATAAATCAATTTAATTTGTATTAAAAAAAATCATATTTAAGCTAACACCCCCCCTTTTAAGAAGATTCCATTATTGTGGCATTATCAGAGACCTATCATGTTTTCTTCTATTGTAGATTTAGTGGACACTGGTATAACACATACTCTTACTATGAATGATTTAAAGGCTATTACAAAAAGCTCAGTTTATTTTTAGCATATGTAACTTGTAAAACTCCATTAACTCCTTTATTTTAAAGGCGGAACCCTGCCCCACCCCCAGGTACGGAGAAGTCCGAGACAGCCCGCCTGAAGGGATCGTTCCAGTGCAGTCAACTGGAGGAACTGGTGTACGTCCACCCAGAGTCTGTTCTGTTCAAGAACAGGGAGGTTGAGTTTGTTGTGTACCAGTCTATGGTGGAGACGTCTAGACTCTACATGAGAGGTTGGTCACTTTTATTTACGTCTGTCTTGTTTCATAGAGCATGTTTTAGAACAGGGAGGTTGAGTTTGTTGTGTACCAGTCTATGGTGGAGACGTCTAAACTCTACATGAGAGGTTGGTCACTTTTATTTACGTCTGTCTTGTTTCATAGAGCATGTTTTAGAACAGGGAGGTTGAGTTTGTTGTGTACCAGTCTATGGTGGAGACGTCTAGACTCTACATGAGAGGTTGGTCACTTTTATTTACGTCTGTCTTGTTTCATAGAGCATGTTTTAGAACAGGGAGGTTGAGTTTGTTGTGTACCAGTCTATGGTGGAGACGTCTAGACTCTACATGAGAGGTTGGTCACTTTTATTTACGTCTGTCTTGTTATATAGAGCTTGTTTTAGGTTTTGTTTTATGGAAGGCAATGGAACTGTCAAAAATAATTTTTTTTGTTCTAGTTTTATTTATAGAACTTGATCTACTGATTAGGCTATTCACTTGGATGACATTGATAAATTATAGACTTTAAAAAATAACTATATATTCACAATGGAAAACACAAATTAGATTTCATGTTACAAGGGAAGTAACAGCAAATACTGTTTTATGATTTGTTTACCTCCCTTGAACCAGATAAAGTTGTGTAATTTTATTTTTTAAATGATTTCTTAATTTATTATCTCCCATGAGATAATTCTTTGATGTTTTCTGAAGTCAGTGTTTTAGTAGCTTGAAGTCTGTTTTATGACTTCAGGTCCATGTATTATGACTTCAGATTCATGTGTGTTTATGACTTCAAGTCTATGTGTTCTCTAGGACTTCATGGCTATGTCATATGAATTCTTGTCTGTGTTATATGACTTCAAGTCAGTGTTTTCTTTGACTTAGGTTTATGCTGTGTTGAACCCCATTGGTTCCCAGAGATGGCCAAGAGCTACTGTGTCTTGTCTAAAGCTTTAGAGGAACCCGCGCCACGCTACGACCCCAGCTCTGGCAAAATCATGTGCCACCGGTCTGGGTCTTTTGGTAATTTACTTTACTAGACAACTTAAATGGTCTACATAATCAAAACAGTAATTTCAGATTAAAAAAAAAAATTTTTTTAATTTATTAAAAAAATTCACATTCAATTCAGTTGTTTCAGGTTAAAAAGATTTTTTTTTTAATTCATAATCAATTCAGTCTTTCCAGATTAAAAAAAAAATTAAATTCAGAATCAATGCAGACTTTTCAGATTAAAAAAAATAAGTTTAAGAGTTTTTTTTCTTTTCTAGGGCGTTGCAACTGGGAATTTCCCCCTACAGAAATGGAATTTCCTGACTGTGTTGAGTGTTACAGATGGTTTGCTAAATTTCTGTTGGACGGGGAAGTTTTTCTGAGTTTGTCGAAGTTTAAAACATCTCTCACAACACCAAGTCAAATTATGGTCAAATCCTGGGCCAAGTAAGTATGTTATAACTGGAATAGTAAAATTTCTTTATGTTCAATTATTCCAAATTTCTCACAACAAAAGAAGTTCATATTTTTAGTTTTAAAAAAATCCAAACACCTTGAACTACTTCCCTTGAACATAGTAGCTTACCTTTTTTTTAAATTTTAGATATTTTAAACCTCACACATATTGTCCCCACTAATACAGGATTTAATTGTTTAATCTACAGACTTCAGCCAATCACAGAGAGGCTACTAAAAGCACTTCTCAACAAAAGCACTTGTACGAAAAGCCAGCTTGCAGAGGTCTGGAAGAAACAGCCAAAATGTGAGAATTTCAAAAAAAAAAATTTCAGTCTTCTTGAATGTCTTTATAAAAATATCTGAGACAGTTTCACATACCATTTTACATTTAACAGCGTTATGTAATCCTAGATATAAAACTAGAAATACAGTCAAGTGCATTATTTTTATCACAATAACTTTAGGTAATTTCAGATTTTTTTGTTTGCTTCAGTTTTACAATCTGAGTACCTGGAGTGGGTGTCTGAAGATAAACATGCAGATGTAATGGCAGAGTGGCCTCCCCTTGACCCACTTTCTTGACACCACCTGTGTTGTGTAGCAGATATTTCAATGAAGTGAATGATGTGTGTAATTAAAATTTGTTCTAATTGTTGCTCTATGTAAAAAAAAAAACAATAAAAATGTCTAAATATTAAAAAATAAAATCTGTTAAGTGCTTGCATCTTGTAAATATTCTTAAACTGTTGGTTGAAAATGAATGTTTCCAAGACAACAAAAGCTGCAGTGTGAAACATACCTGAGCTACAATGAGAGCAACACTACTGTTCACAAGATAATTTTTAAAGAATTAGATCTGAGTTGGGGTTAATGGTTATTAAGTTTAGGGGTTATTGGGGGTTAAGGATAAGAGCTAGTAAAAAAGTCTTTGCACATCTTATCCATTCGGACAAGATTGCAAAATCTCCTCCCCCTGTCCACGTCTACAAAAGTCGATTTTTTTCGTTAGGCGTCGTCATTCATAAATGACGACGCACTTGGGGGGGGGGGGGGGGGGTCCGTAATTTTGTGATAGAAAAATATCATTGTTTTAAGAAAAATTCAACTGCAATTTTGAAAGGGTGTATAGGCTGAGGTGTGACGTCATTTTAGAGGGTGGGGGTCTGGCTTTTTGTGACGATGTGTGACGGAGGGAAGGTAAGGATCGTAAAACAAAAGCGTGGAGTCATTTATGGATGACCCCCTTACAACACAGCATTTAGTCTGGCCCCTACCCACGAAGATCTGTCCGGCAAAGGTTAAACCTGCCAGGAGCACGGGGATCCCACCGGCATAGAAATTGGGGTCATTGGAGCACACAAGCCATCCCACCTCACCAAGGCGCTGTGTCGTTAGGATGGTCCGGGTGCTGCAACGACGCCATAGGTGGCCCGCCTATGGCCTAAGAGTGTTCTGCCCACACGCTCACACGATTTACCATTGCTACTTCGCGAGATCATACCAAGGACCGCGATTGAAATCATTCTACACAATGCAAAGGAAGTCGTTTGGCAGCCAAACCGTGCTCCATGACAATAGCAATCGTTATGAGCGGGAAGACTATAAAAAGTGAAACACCCTCGGCGAAACCACGGTTGACGTAGTTTCATCACCCAGGGTGGGGTCCCGAAGGACACTGAAGTTGAGCCAGATGAGATAATGATATATATTCAGACACGCGGACGTTAAGGGAGCAGTATCACCCAGACTAAGGGAGAGAAACAAAAATTTTCACACACAAAATAAACCGGGAGTGATCTCCCCTAAACTTTCTCGAATATTCTTATATAAAATAACAGGGGATGGAAACTCGGGCTATAGACATGATTTTTAATCCATTTTAAATACTTAAAGTTTTAAAAATAGAATAAAATCTCGTAGACAAATTAATTGCACACCAAGTGAACGCAAATAAAAAAAGCGCATAATAGTGCGCAATATTATTAGTACTTTTAAAATTTACATTAGTTTTTTGAGAAATCGGAAGTAGCGTAAATTACTACTTCCAGTCAACGGAAATTACTCAAAATTTAACAGAAGGTAGAGAATTAGATCTTTTACTTACATGTGAAATTTCATTTATCTATCTGAAATAGTACTCAAGTTATAGGCTTTTAAAAAATTCAAAGTAGGAAAAGTACCACTTCCGGTTATCGGAAATCGGTTATCGGAAATCGATTTTGATAAAATACTTATATATGAAATTTCATCAACCTAGCTGTAACGGTACTCAAGTTATCGTGTTTACACACGGACAGACACACACACGGACAGACACACACACACACACAGACATACGGACAAGATTGCAAAATTATGTTTTTCCGTATCAGTGAGGTGTAAAACGTCGAGATTTGTAAAAATCTCGATTTTTTTTTTTGCACGATTACAATACTTTCTCTATACTACGTATATACGAGAAAGTAAAAAACTATTCGACATACACGTGTCAATTTTTACGCTAAATGTTTACAATCGTAGAGCCGGGTTTAGTGACGGCTATTAGGGGCTGATAATTTAGTTTGAAGCGATTTTAAACTTAGGGGAGGTAACTAAGAGGAGGTTGCTTTCACGGGGGGGGGGGGGGGGGGGTGGGTGGGGGGTGGAGGGGTGTAGGATAGGGGTTGGGGGAAAGGAGGGTGGCGGGGGGGGGGGGGGGGGGTTAACGTCCTTAAAGACCTACTGATAGTGTTTTAAAGCAAATATATTTTCAGTGGCAGCATTGGTACTGTCGAATTCACAAATTATGAATTACTGAAAAGTAGAGAATAAAACAACTAAATAGCGGCATATGATACGCCTCGGGTTGGCTCGTACTTTTTATTTGTCCTATTCCACTGTCAAGTACTTGAGGTTTTTATTTTCGCGGTTGAATATAGATTTATTAATAGTAATAACAGATCCATCTGCAAGAGACCCTCTAATAGGGAAGTGTATTTCTATTTCAATAGATCATCGTATTGCTGGTAGCTAGCTTCGCAGTACACGCATTTGTAGATTGCGATGTGTGTGTGTAGTTTCGCATGATGTACGGCTAGTTGGCTACTTTTGAACTTTGGTTTCACACACTGTGCTGGTGGCTTCTGTTCCGTGTTCTGATTGTATCTTTTGCGTTCTCTGTCCTTGTTGAAAGGTGGTAGGAAGCAGAGGCGTAGCGGGGGGGGGGTACATATGTCCCGTGCGCCGACCCCAGGGGCGGTAAAATGGGTTGAAAAAAAGTAAAAGCTCATTTTAGCTGCAGTTTTGCATTATAAATATTAAAAAAATATATGGGGGGGGGGCAAATTGAAAGTTTCTCCCCGGGGGGCGGGAAGGGTCGCTACGCCTCTGGTAGGAAGTATCCTAACAATACTTTCCTTTGAGGCGCCTTTATTTTTGCGGTTTTTGTTTTCCTGTATTAGGGCTGATGTCTTGTTTCCTTTTAACTGGTGTTAGGTCTGTATCCATAATTGCATGTGGTTTTGTAGTTTGGGGAGTCCGTTTTTGAAGAGGTGGGAAATACCTTTCTTGCTTCTGACAAATTTTCGTTCATTGTTGCTTTTAAGGGGTGTAGCTGAGTGTTTGTTTTACAGCTGGCGTTTCTTGTGTGTTGCATTCTGTTCTTTATCGGGGTTGACGTTTTATTTTAAAAAACCCTTATTAGGGGGATTTAAAGTGTGCAACAAAAAATAAAAAGACATGGGAGATAATTAACCGACATGAACCACAACTACCCTTCAAATAAAGCCAATCGAGCGCGCGGTCTTGATCTACCTATTTTTCCAAACACACCATTCAACATGTCCACAACTCTATAACCCCCTTCCCCCATTTACATGCCCACATCTCCATGACCAACCCTCAAACGTATAGATCCACACCTCCATGACCCACCCCCAGACCCACACCTCTATGACCCACCCACAGAACCACACCTCCTTGACCCACCCCAAGACCCACACCTCCATGACCCCCTCCCCCCATGACCCACCCCCAGACCCACACCTTCATGACCCATCCCAAACCCTCACCTCCATGACCCACCCCCAGACCCACATCTCCATGACCCACCCCAAGATCCACACTTCCATGACCCACCCCCAGACCCACACCTCCATGACCCACCCCCAGACCCACACCTCCATGACCCTACCCCAGACCCACACCTCCATGACCCACCCCCAGACCCACACTTCCATGACCCTACCCCAGACCCACACCTCCATGACCCTACCCCAGACCCACACCTCCATGACCCACCCCAGACCCACACCTCCATGACCCTACCCCAGACCCACACCTCCATGACCCTACCCAAGACCCACACCTCCATGACCCCCCCCCCTATCACATCCATGACCCACCCTCATGACCCATGTTGCCTGATCTGATTGTGCTATTATTTAAATCGTGACGAAAATTTACACCGCTCTGAATTTAAAAAACAATACAGATAAAAATACCTTAACTAGTTCCAAGTGACGTCACTGTGCTTGTTATAACACTGTTTTCTTAACACCTGACAAAAAAATGCAAATTCGCAGTAGGACAAAACACTGAGGGGTGGGGGATGGAGGAGCGGGTAACTTGCTAGTTCTGCGCATGTCCGGCAATCAAGCGGAACCACAAAACAGGTCTCAGGTAGACTGGAGGTGGGGGGTGGGAATTTAGGCATGCACCGTACCGAGACAGAAGGTACAGCAACATCCAATGGTGACACTTTCAGAAAGAAGAAGAAGTAGGTTTGGGTATCACCAGCCTGCATGATTCCTTATCGGTTTTTATCTTTATTTTTTTCAAACAAAATTCAAAATTTAGTAAAAAAAAAAAAAAAAAACAACAAAAAACAACCCACTAATGCTTTTGAGCTCACACATAGCTTCACTCAGAATTTCTCCTGATGGCATTTGAAAGTTCGGGGCGGGGGGGGGGGGGGGCATTAAAAATTTATTTCTTTGGTTAAAGTATATCTTTTCTATAATTTTTTTGGGTCTATTTTCAAAGGGGGCGGAGAGATTGGTGGGGGGGGGGGGAAGGAGGGAGTGGGGAGCTGTGGACTTGCTCCGGAGAGATGCCCGAAAGAAACCCTGCCCCACCTCTTCGATATGCGGCTCACCCGACCACATTCCCCCCCATCCTCAACCCCCAAACACCGAAACATCCGAGGCTCCGCCACATCCCCCCACCCCACTAGCACCCGTTTTACCATTGTTATTCTCGTTATTATATAAACGCCCAACAACCATTATACTGATTGATATAATCAACATTATCAATTTAACTGACATGATACGGTGTCCAGACTTTCCCCGTGTAAAACACTGTTTTCAACCTTATAGGAAAGGAATGATTCTTATCGGTTTATTGTTGAACAGATCGACTCATGCCATAAATTATGAGCTAGACACGGGCGTGTGACAGCTCCCATATCAAATCTCGTGGCATTCAGCTTTCACAGCACACGTAAAGGGGCCATCTATTTATGAGGTATACACGGAGCGGAGAGGTGTGTGGGGGGGGGGGGGGGGGGGGGGGGGGGGGGGGGGTTCGGTTAAAAATTGACTTTAGTGGACGTATGGGGCTGGGGTGGGGTGTCGGGTCCATGTAGAAGTCCACTTGTTGAATTTAACATTGAAGTGCTTACATTTTGTATCCTGCATGCAAAAAAGTGGTTGTGTTTAAAAAAAAAACAATAGCAAAAAAAAAAACAACAAAAAAACAAACAAAAAAAACATCGTAACATGTAAATAAAGCACTGGATTTATACCTAAACTAGATCATCCGAATCGTCATTATTGTTGACGATTTTTACTTCCCCTCCTTCCCCACTGTCACCAGAGTTTCTTCCAGGCATCTCTTCGGAGGGGGGGGGGGGAGCTTAGCCCCCCCCCCCCCCCCCCTCCGAAGAAAGTCTACCGTACCCCCCCCCCCCCCCCCGCGAACGAAATGAAATTTATATAGAAAATATATACTTTTAACAGTGTCCGCCCCACCGAAGAAAGTCTACCGCCCCCCCCCCCCCCCCACCCACCCGGAGAAAAAAGTCTGGAAGAAACACTTACCGTCAACCATCTTCCAGATCCTGGACCCAACACCTAAAATGACGTCACACCTCCGCCTACCACACCTCTCAAAACTGTTAATGTTAAAAAGAAAAAGCAACTTTTTCCTAAAGTAATTACTGAGCATGGTCAACGTTGAGTAGGCCTAGCTTGGTGTTAAGTGAAAAAAAAAAAAAATTCAGGTTCTAACATTACTGCAACAACGTGTCGTCACGCTTACTGAAACCCTTCTCCCGCCCCTCCGGAGTGTGACGTCATTTATGCACGACTCCTAATAAAAAATATATAAATAGCACCTCTTTGGGAAGAGATCGATGAAATAAATAGAAATAGAGGTCATGAACCCGAGGGGGCCTTGCGACTCATTAATCTTATAAATATTAATAATTAAAATACAGATCATTAAATTGTTTTGTTGGTTATGGGGAAGATATATATATATATATATATATATATATATATATATATATATATATATATATATATATATATATATATATATATATATATATGAGACATTTAAAACCCTAACTGTTACTGTACACTCTAGATTCTACTTTGATATTCAGGCCTAAAAATAAACGTATTAAAGCCATATATCGGTAAATAGTTACACAATACATGTTATTGAAATAGTAAATTGGTAGTAAGTTTTGAGAGGTCTACTAATTTTTTTGTGGTCGTCGGAAATCGTTTCTATACAGAGATCATGCATGCAGAAATACATTTTCTGGGATTTGTTTTTGGCGGGCAAAAGATAGCTCTCCTGTTGTTAAAGTTTATTTTAAGCGGTATTGTTGACACCCGCCCTAGCAGACGATTACCTGGCTGGGAACAAAAAAGAAGCTACGCCATAGGCAAAGATTTTCGCTTCTGTTCCCAGTCATAGCCAAAACATGTTGTGTGTTGTTTGACTGAATAAAGTTTAAAAGAAATGAATAATGTTAATGGAAAACGTAGAATTCATGATTAATTCGCTTTGGATATAATTTAAAAACATCACAAAGTAGGTTCCCAATACTGCTAAAAAAGAAGGTAAGATTTTTGTGTGCTTTTTAACAAACATTTCAGATAAAAATTCATTTATTTCGATTACGTTAAAATAAATATTTATTATTTACAATAACAATAAATAAATAAATAAATTTTACAAGTAAAAAAAATGGAAACACGGATTAGGCCTATATAGATCTATTTCCAGTAGGCCTACGTCGACACAAAAATGGCTTTAATTTAAATATTAACTTACTTCACAAAGCCACATGACGTAAACAACTTCGTCTTATCGTGGGTCCTTAGAGCCCGAAATGTTAATGAGGTACTTTTCTGAAACCAGCCAAAGTGAGAGCTTATCTAGAGTAGTCGCCAAACAAACACTATTTTGGCAGTTCACCCAGTTTATTAACTGTAACCTTTACTAGATCTAGTATTGCAGACTTTTGATATGTCTCGCTACGTCTTCATAT